TTCCAATCTCCACCGGGCTGTAGAACTACTAAATTGGTTAGAACACAACTTTCACCATTACTCCTTGTTAAGCTGAAGCAAGAATCCACATAGTCAGCCAAGGAATATTAACTGAGCACATGTGAACACTCCTCTCTTACCTTCCCAGGATACAATACTAAAAAGAAAGAACAAATATGGCAAGTATTAAGTTCAAGGCCAAAGGCTTTCAGGCTGGGGAAACAGGGAAGCGCTAATGTCACAGTTTACATCTGAGGCTCATCTGCAGGTAGAATTTCCTCTTGCTCAGGGGAGCTCAGTCTTGTGTTCTAGTCTGACCTTCAACTGATTGGATGAGGCCCACCCACATTAAGCAGGTTGATCTGCTTTACTTAGAGTCCACTTAAATGCCATCTCATCCAAAAACAGCATCACAGAAACATTCAGAATAATGTTTAACCTCATATCGGAGCACTGTGGCACCACTAAGTCAACACTGAATAATAGTCACATGGCCCATGACGGGCTAAACGTCCAGGAGGTGGCTGGATGATACTGAAGCACAACAACAAAACCAGTGCAGAGTGTGAAGATGGTACGGAATGCCGGGTGATGTGGAGAGTGGGCAGGGAACGCCTCCTGGAGGTGCAGAATATGAAGGAGAGGCATAGAATGAGAAGTATAAAGTAAAAACTCTTGTAGGCAGAAGGACTGAATCCACAAAGTCCTATGAGCTGCTAAGAACTGGGTGAGCTTGAGAAAATGCTAGAAGGCTGCAGGGGCTGCTACACACACAGCAATGGGGGGGAAGGGCAGGACAGGGCATTAGTGAGGCCAGCAGGGGCCAGGTCCTTCAGAGCCCTAGAGTTAAGATGAAGCCAAAGCAGGGAAGTGCCCGGATTAGATTTACATTTAGGGTGTTGGGTCTGGCTGAAGGGGGAGAAGTGGACTAGGGGAAGCATCAGTGGGGGGTGGGTAGCGAGGTCCTGAAATGGTCCCGGTAAGAGATGAGTGCTCAGATGCGGCCATGTGACCTAATTCGTGTCTTCTTTGGCAGAAGTAAATCGAACTTTCTAGAGCATTCGATGTTGTGGCAACTGGTGAGGGAAACAGAGAATTCCCACATTTCTGGCTTACACAATTCAAAAGAAACAAGAGCTTTTATCCTAGTTACCAGCCTGGCTCAAGTTATACCCAATAGCAGCCTGCATTATGCAAATTGTGTATCCTAATTAATGTAGATCCAGTTTGATTTATGCAAATTCTTGCTTTGGGCTGTGTTAGTCATTTCCTGCCTGCACTACCTCTTGCCTGTCAGGACCACTTCCCCCCGACCCCTCATCCCATTGCTGCTCTATGGACCAGAGCCATGAGCATGTCTGGGGTCAGTGAGCTCTGAGTGGCCATAGTGGCTGAGTCCAAGGACAGGAGAAAGGTGTGTCTGACATCCAACCTGAGCCGGTACCGCCTATGGGCCTCTCTCTTTGAGAGCTTGTTCCTGAGCTCCTGTGTGCCACTGGTTCCTCTCTCCATCAGTGTGTTACTGCTCCAGTCCCTGGTAGAACTCCTCTGTCTCAGAACTCGCGCCCAGCCCTCCTGCCATGCACTCCCAATACACTCACACACCATCTGCATGCTGCAAAAATATTGACCACCCCCCGACCCCATCGTACCTTTTAAAGGCACTCCCACACAGGAACGCCGCCTTATGTTATTGAGGCAGAGTGTGTGTTTTATTCAATTCTGAATGCCAGGCGCCTAGAATAGCTCACCAGATAAATGTCAATCAACTCTAGCATAATCAAGACACCCATTCCTGACTCATTAGGGCCCGCTCATTCCCTTTAAGCTTCTCAGATTTATACACTGTAATTAGAAACTTGGTGATTTTGACTGCTAAACAGAAAAGCTTAGAGGGACGCTTCCCATGTTTGAATTTTAAATATTTTCACACTTCGTTAACCCCGTTGCTGGTGTAACATCTTCTGGCCCAATTCCCTCACACTGCGTGATTTTTATTTTTGGATAGAGATGAGCACAATTAATTGAATTCAGACACATATTGATTACTGTTTTTCATGAACTCTGAACAGCTTGTCTGGGAGTGATTTTATTGAGGAGTCGTTAAACAACTGCTTGGCTGGGCCGTGTCCCCCACGTCCGCATCCAGGCTGTAAGTGCCTGTCTGCAGGGTTGATGGCCTATTTGTGGGGAGCTGTGTTGTTCACAAGAGCAGTCAGAACGGGAAAAGCCATACCCACTCTCTTCACACACTTGCCCCGCCTGGGGAACACTGAGGTCCACTCAAACCCAAGCAGGGCTCTGGCGGGGTCTGTGGGAACGGCCTGATTCCCACTCCTGGTGAAAATACTCAGCTGTGGGCCCCATGTGAGCAGGGACATCACTCAGATCGTTCAATGGCCACATTATTCATCCAAGGACTGCACTGCTTTCAGCAGGCGGAACTTTCCAGATCCAGACGATGAGGTTTTAGAACGTCTCTTGGACCAGTGCTTCTCACACTTCAATGTGCACATGAATCACCAGAAGATCTTGTTAAAACACAGACTCTGGTTCAGGGGGACTGGGCTGGGGCCTGAGATTCTGCATGTCTGATGCCCATCTGTGGACATGAGGCCTTTGGCGTGACCTAACTCTGCACCGCCTTCCACTCTGTGATCGAGAAGAGCGTTCTGCGTCTCCCACTAAAGTATAGGTCCCTGGAGATCGGAGGCCATGGTCTGATTCCTAACCCGAGTTACAGCAGGAATGAGGCAGATGTGACAAAGTTTCCACATCTCTACCTGGGCACAAGGTCTTCCAATAAAAAGCCGAGCTCTCATTGCAATTTCATAGATGATGGAAATGTCCTCGCCTCCTGGCACACTCTTCAGATGTCCCCAAGATGCTGATGTACCCACAGCCAGTTAGCCACACAATGGCCAGGTAATTGTTTAAGAATATAAATATGATTCCTAGGGCTCTTTATTCTTTGGATAAAGCACACACTCTGCCCCTGCCCACCCATGGTCTTATCACTGTCCTTCACGCTCACAAAGCTTCAGTCACTCTGACCTCCTATTTGTCAAACATGCCAAAGCCATTTCTACCCCAGGGCCTTTGCACTAGCCATTTTTCTCCAAGTGTCATCACCTCTTTGCTTTCAAAGACTGGCCACAGGCAAGGTTCTAACAGTAGAGCGACTCCAAAATGAGTTTTAAACCTTTGGTTTTATAGGTTTGACATACATTTATTTTTCTCTTGATTCTTGCCCAGTTGGAGACTGGACCAGTCTGACACTTTCATATGACAATGAGAAGACTGAAGCCCAGAGACAGAATGAGACAGAATCATAGCCACTCATTTTATGGGGGGGGAGGGGGGGGGCAAAACTGTCCAAGGACAGACCCAGAGGTTGAAAGTTAGAGTCATAGAGAAGAAAATGTAATCTTAACACAATACATAGTGCTTGGACCTGCACTGCTTAACAATATTTATAGTATTAGACCATTACAACCCACCTATACCTCTCCTGGTTTTTGGCTTTTGACTTTGCTGAGTTCAAGGTTGAACTTAAGAAGAGGGAGACAATCTTGAATTTCTCTTTCATTTGTGTTATCCTATTTTTCTTTGTCACAAAATATACTTTTTGAGGCCAGAGAGGGTGATTTTTAATTTATGGATTTCTCTCTACAATTACAACAAGAACCTAATTTTAAAAATCAAATTGGTTTCATCTAATTAAATTTGGAAATTGCCTCATAAACATATACTCTGTTATAAATGTCTTTAAAAGCAAGGGCTCCCGCTTCCTGTCTGGAGCAGAATTAGGTTGAGCCCAGCATGGTGGGGGGGGGGGGGGGGGGGAGGGAACTTCCCATCTCTCTTCTCAGGAGGACACACTCCTTTATCAAGTGTCAAAACTCTCTAAAGACTCCTGGTCTACAGCAGTGCTTCTCGAACTCCAATGCCCATGTGAATCACAAACAGGCATCTTGTGAGAACAGAAACTCTGATTTGGGAGCTCTGGTGAAGCTTCAGATGAAGTATTTCTAACCAGCCCCCAGGCACTGCTGATGTGACTGGTCCACAGACCACGCTGACTAAGGGGCAAGACACTTGCACTTGAATTCAGGATCCATGAATTTGCCATCATGTGACTTTGGTCTTTTCACTTCACCACTCTGAGTCTCAATTTTCTCATTTTTATGCAATGATAAGAGCTAACATTTATTAATGAGATTTCTAAATGCCAGAGTACTAAACATATATTTATATATGCTTATAAATATAAATGAAAGGCTACAGGATAAATCCAAGGTTACATAGCAAGTAAGTGGCGGAGGATCAATCCTGGCCATAGTCCAATACTAGAAATGAGCTCTATCAGCCTTATCAAAGTTTAGTTTGTTCTTGTTTTGCAGTGAACTTCTATACACCTCGTTCTAATTCTGAAAGTATTTAGGAAGCTGCATTGTGTTGGCTTATGAGTCCTTCATGCCTGAGGAGGATCTGCTCCATCTCTGCTATAAAGTCCTGCTAATCCCAGGACAGCATCACTTGGAGGACAATAAAGAATGCCTGGTCCCCAGAGCAATGTTACAGCTCAAGAATCATGTGCCCCCAGGGAAGGGAGTGACATTGGGATTCTTTTGGAAGCCCAGGGACTGGTGTGGGTAGGATGGGCATCATGCGAGCATTGTGGATGAATCGTAACCACTGCTTGCCAGGCCTGGGTCCTCTTGGCCATGCCAGGACAGCCCAGCTCCCTGCGTCCTGAAACCTCTGCTGAAGCGATCGAGAATCGCTTCAATGCATCGCATGCCCATTTGCTTGGTCATCGGGGCTATCATGACAGCACAACAGTATGCCCTCGTTTTCCTTCCACCGTGTCGGTGATTGTGTCTCACTCCCCTTTATGCCCTCAGTGGAGCTCTGAACATAGCAGGTGCTCGCCGGCCTCAGGCTGAAGTCAATAGAATGGAGCCTGACAAGAGATACAGCCAAAGGGGCCTCCTTACCTCGTACAGCGTGATGACCCCATTGGTCTCATTGGGAGGTTTCCACTGGATGTAGATCTTCTCCTCAAAGGGCCCCCCTTGGATGGACTCTAGAGGAACAGCACCTGGAACTGCAGAAGGGAAAAGTTAGGAACTTGATGCCACCTTCCGCCTCATGTCCCCCGCCTCACTGACCTGGAACAGGCGTTGGCCAAGTTTTCCTGTAAAGAGTCAGATAATCATTATTTTAGTCTTTGTGAGCCATACAGTCCCTGTTGCAACTACTCCACTTTGTGTTTGTAGCACAAAAACAGCCAAAGACAATTCACAAATAAATGGGCATGGCTTCATTTCAACAAAACTTTTATTTCTAAAAACAGGCAATGGGCTGGAGCGGACCCACAGGCCATAGTTTTTTCACCCCTCTCTTGGAAGCCTGATGGCTTTTGACCTGCAGACCGAGCAAGTCTGGTCTTGAACTAAACCTGACCAGGGTTGGAGGACATCTGTAGGTCCCCCAGTCCTGCCAGCACGTGGGATTCTGGGGCTAGACTCTTGCCTTAGGACTGGTATTTGCAGAATGCAAAGTGAGCTTCACTTGCCAAACCCTGCCCAGTTTTCTCCAGCTACAGGAAGTGCTTCCTCAGCTGAATCCATCGGGAACTACGTGCCCTGAAGTCTCAATCCAATTAGAAGGAGCTCGCCATGCTCCAGGGAGGCAGCGAGGCCGTCTCGCTGCTGAGCCTCCAATGTCTGGAACACGGGAGATGCTTAATAACCATTTGCTGGTTGGGTAACTAGGGGAATAAATGACCTATGCCAGCAGTTTGCCCTAATGAGCAAAACCTTTCCTAGGCTGCTTGGTATCCAGGTCCGTCTCCCAGCCAGCATCCTCCTGCTGGACCCCACCATTGTGTGACAGCCTGCAAGATGCTGAACCACAAAATAAATAATTCCCCGAACTTCTTTATAACCCCCAAGGGAATCTTGAATTCATGTAAAGCATTACGGGACCTATTTATATGTTGGCCTTATAAAAGCTGGTACTTTTATGAAGCGCTTACTCTTTGATCAGAATTTTACATACATTATTTCATTGAAGCCCCAAACCAGCTCTGCCCAGTACTGATTATCTCTTTTGCGCTGAGAAGGGAACTGAGGCTAAGAGAATCAAGTAACTCGCTCAAGGTCATATGGCTCTTAAATTATAATGAGGGAACTGAATACCTAACTGTGAGTTTCAAAGCATATACTCTTAATCACCACGCTCGCCTCTCTAGATAGAGCCTTGGCCATATGTTGCAATCAGTTCCCTATTGTTAAATTAAAATATATTTAGTTTTTCTCATTATGGACATGATACGCAGGATCTGTTGACTATTAAGAATATACAAAAAGATTTAAAGAAGAAAAGAACAAAATCACTCCTATTCCCCAGAACTGGAGATATTTTTATGCCTATGCATATACCTATTTATTTAAAAATTAAACTCCTACTGTGCATTTCGTGTTGTGATCTTCTTTTATAGCTAAACAAGTCACACTTAAAAAAACCTTTACATGTTCTTTGGGGCCATGTGTTTTAATGGCTGCCTAGGGAAGGACAGGCCCCATTCCAGCCACCAACCCTTTATTACCGGGCATTACATTTGGCTTAAATTCTTTATGATTATAAGCAACACTGTGATGAACATTCTTATAAGTATTTGCATGAAACTCTGATGTCCCTAAGACACATTTTTGGAAATCAATCTATTGAGCCAACATAAATGAACCATTTTATTTTAAAGGCTTTTGATATATATTACCATATTACCAGAAAGTTGGTACAACTCTGGGATCCCCAACAGAAAAATATGCCGATTTTCAACCTCTGCCACCACTGACTATTTAAAAAAATAAGTGTTTGTGTGTGTATCTTTTTTTAGAATACTGGAGAGAGTGGATTTGTTTTTCAGCTTAATTGGCCATTTGCATTGATTCTTTCATGAACATCCTCTCCATACCCTGTGCTCATTTCCCTGTATGGCTCTTCATTTTTGTTCATCATTGTTTTATGAGCTGGTAATTATAATCTGTTTTTAAGAACATAAGCTGTTTTGCATAAGTTACAAATATTTTTGTCAGTTTCTCATTTGCTTTTAAAATCTTTTAGGTATGTAGAAGCTTCGGAGTAGTCAGATCTCTTATTGCTTTTCCTTAACCATTCATCCTTTCCACAAATATTTACTGACTCTTTAATATGACCAAGGGGATGGCGGTGGTCCACTAGGGATACACCAATGGCTAAGAAAGATAGAGTCAAATCCTTGCTAAAGCTTGTGTTCTGAAAAGGGAGACAGACGTTAAATAAATAATTACACTCACAATTAAATTCTTAAAATTGTTATCAGGACTTGGAGATAAAGTGCAGGTGTCAGGAGAATTATAACAAGCAGAGAAAAACCAGTCTGGCAAATCAGGATAATATGTGAAAATAAATTCAAGTCAATGGGTAAGTAGAAGTTACTAGGGCAAAGGCGGGGAGGGTGTGTATTGAGTGGGGTGGATACCTTTGGGAGGGCAAGAGCAGGAGGAGAAAAACCATCTTGGGGAGGGGGCAGATATGGTAGCTTGGACCAGGGTGATGGTATACAGAGGACGTGCAGGAGATTTGGGGGTGCTGAACTAATGTGAATTGGTGGTGATGGATAAGGGTGAAGAGATGGAGAGAGGTGTTAAGGAAGACCCAGCTCTTCTGCTTTATACAACTGGAGTGGATCAGAATGTTGTCCATAGAGAAGAAGCTCAGAGGAGAGTTAGTTTGGGAAAGCAGCCGCAGGTGGGCATTTGAGGGCAACCAGGCCTATGGGGGGGGGGGGGGGGCGCGCGCAGTTGGGCGATCAGGCCAGCAGGCTGAGGTAGTTAGGGGAGGCAGTTAGGGGTGATCAGGTCGGCAGGGAGGCAGTTAGGGGTGACCAGGCCAGCGGGGGGTGGGGGGGGGCAGTGAGGGGCGATCAGGCCAGCAGGCAGAGGCAGTTAGGGGTGATCAGGCAGGCAGGCAGGTGATCCCCAGGATCGGGCCATACTTCATTGGAGGCGTGTATGTGCCCTTGCGGCAATTTTGAGTTGCGGTGTTGGATATATGAGACTGGGACCAATGTTTAGAAATTAAAACCATGGGCAGGGAATAGATATTGTAGTAAGAATGTAGAGGGCAACAAAAAAAAGTAGGTCTAGGACTAAGCCCAGAGGAACTCCAATATTAACAAATAGGAAGAAAACAAAGACACTGAAAAATAGAGGCTGTGTTCAGAGAGGCAAGGAAAAACCAGGAAGGTGAGCTGTCATCACAGCAGCAAAGGGAGGACCCAGAAGGGCTGGTGAAGAGTGACAGGTGTGGCCCTAGCCAGTTTGGCTCAATGGACAGGTCATCAGCCCGAAGACTGAAGGGTCCCAGATTTGATTTTGGTCAGGGGTATGTACCTAGATTACAGGTTGCAGGCTTGATCCCCATGCAGGGAGACCACCTGTTTCTCTTCCTTCCTTCCTTCCTTCCTTCCTTCCTTCCTTCCTTCCTTCCTTCCTTCCTTCCTTCCTTCTTCTTTCTTTCTTTCTTTCTTTCTTTCTTTCTTTCTTTCTTTCTTTCTTTCTTTCTTCTTTCTTTCTCTCTCTCTCTCTCTCTCTCTCTCTCTCTCTCTCTCTCTTTCTTTCTCTCTCTCTCTCTCTCTCTCTCTCTCTCTCTCTCTCTCTCTCTCTTTCTCTTTCCTTCCTTCCTTCCTTCCTTCCTTCCTTCCTTCCTTCCTTCCTTCCTTCCTCCCTCCCTCCCTCCCTCCCTCCCTCTCTCTCTCTCTCTCTCTTTCTTTTTTTCTTCTTCCTCTCCTCTCCTCTCCTCTCCTCTCCTCTCCTCTCCTCTCCTCTCCTCTCCTCTCCTCTCCTCTCCTCTCTCTCTCTCTCTCTCTCTCCCCTCCCCCATCTACTCTCTCTAAAACTCAATGGAAAAAATATCCTCAAGTGAGGATTAACAACAACAACAAAAGAGTGACAGGTGTGGCTAAGTAGTCAAGTAGGATGTAACCTCATATTTTCCAAGTGGATTCAGTGTCTATAAGATTACTCATGACCCAAGCAAGAGTAATTTAGGATGAATGCTGGTGTTCCAAGCCATCCTGCAGTGGGTGGAGAAGGGAGTGGAAGGTGAGGGATTGTGCTGAGACAAGTGAACTATTTCGGATGTGACTGGGAGGAGAATGCAAGAAGTGGCGGGGACGAGATATGGAGCCAAAGTAGCGCCCCCTTCCAAACACAGGAAAGGTCATGGCATAATTAAGGGCAACCAGAAAAAATCCAGAATGGAAGTAAGAGGTGGAAGGGTGGGAAAGAGAGAGGAAATAACTGACATTGGTGGGTCCGGAAAAGGCAGAAGCAGGGTGGGTGGAAAGAAAGCACCCTTCCCTCGGTGAGGTAAGAGAAGAGAAAGAGACTATGCAGCCGCTTAGAGGAGGGCGAATTGAAGTGTTCAATTGGCCCCATTTTCTTGAAAAGAGAAGGTGAAACCATCAACCAAAAGTATAGTGAAAAGAGGAGATCCTTGAAGAATTTGGAGAAGTTTGAAAAGGTAGAAAGTGAGATGAACAGAGAGATGCAGTCTACTCATTAAGAAGAGTCTAGCTCTAGCCGGTTTGGCACAATGGATAGAGCGTCAGCCTGCTGACAGAAGGGTTCCAGGTTTGATTTTGGTCAAGGGCATGTACCTTTGTTGCAGGCTCCTCCCTGGCCTGGGCCCTAGTCTAAGTTGTGCAGGAGACAACCAATTGATGTGTTTCTACCACATCGATATTTCTCTCTGTCTTTCCCACTCTTTTCCACTCTCTTTAAAAATCAATGAAAAAATATCTTTGAGTGAGGATTAAAAAAAAAAAAGAAGAAGAAGGATCTATCTGATAGAGTGTGTGACTGTGAACATCAAGCTGTATCACAAGGAAGGCCTCTTGCTTTCTATCCACTCCTTCATTCCAGATTAAAGCAAATTCTCTTTCTCACCCCAGATCATATCAATAGTCATCTGTATTTTCTCCTATTTATTTCATGATTTATTCCTATCTTTTTCTTTGTTAATCTAACACTGCAATTTATCTGGAATCTGTTGACC